CACAGAGTAGAACTTGAATTCCAGGATCACTGGGAACATGCAGATTATTGCTGGAGCCCAACCTTCCAGTGTCTGCACACACAGAGAGCAGGAATCCCTAATTCCAGGATCAATGGGAACATGCAGAGATTATTGCTGGAGCCCAATCCCTTCCTCCCCAGTGTCTGCACACACAGAGCAGGAATCCCTAATTCCAGGATCAATGGGAACATGCAGAGATTATTGCTGGAGCCCAATCCCTTCCCCCCAGTGTCTGCACACACAGAGAGCAGGAATCCCTAATTCCAGGATCAATGGGAACATGCAGAGATTATTGCTGGAGCCCAGGGGGAGCTCTCTATCTGATATAATGTGTATTTTACTCACACTGACCTGCAGCAGCCTGTGTCCTCCCAGCACAACAAGAGAGGGGGGAGCTCTGATATGAGAAGTCATGTGACTGCAGCTGTCACATGATCCAGGAAATAGCTGATAAAGTGCTGGGATTCCCTCCTGAGCTCTGAGCTGGCTGGATCCAGAGAGAGAGGGGGGCACAGGGGGCACAGGGGGGGATCACACAGCACCAGCAGCACATTCCCTGCACTTTGATTCCTTATTACTGGGAGTCAAGGAGCAGTGACATTCTCAGTGTATGGCAGGTTTATATGGTATTAAATAGGGGAGATGCAGGGTTATGGTAAAACACATCCCCATCCTCTGTGTGTTATCCCATTAATCCCTGTAACGGCACCCTGGGTATAGAAGGGGTTAACACTGCCAGAGCTGTTCCCTTCCAGAATACAAAGTCAGTTACCGAACACTCCTAAGTGCCGAACAGGAAAACACACGAATAATCCCCCCAAGTACGATACGAGGCTATGTATTGATGGTCAAGCAGGAATCTGTTTAATGTGGGCTACATGCCTGGCTTTAATGCAGGTCTTCCATCAAGGGACACTCCCAAAGGGACCATGTGTAAGACTGGGACAAGTTTATACATTAACCAATCAGAGACATATACAGTGATAAACACTCATCTGAATATTACAAACTCTCCTCTCTATCCTGGAGATAATTGGGTTAAGTGCTAGAAGTAACTCAATTACCTCCAGGGATAGAGCATAACCGGCATTTTACAGGAACAATAAAAATATATAATTCCCAAACTACCAAACAGAATCCCCACATTCAACGTATCCCCAGATAGCTTAGATCTGTGCGCACACTATTACAGAATAGCGCTCAGATCCCATTGTTACGGTTGCCTCCAGGCTGGCTGGAAGTTGGACCGTAGAAAGGATGCTCCTAGCGCTCACCAAAGGACCATCAGCACCGTAGACACCATAAGTACTGCGTAGACCACCATAAGTACTGCAGACTCCACGAACCACCGCTGCTGGGCTAGGATCTCGCCGTCTGCTATCCGCCCTGGACCTACGACCAGGCTCCAGGTTCCAGTAGGTGAACCTCTTCCTTCTGTAGAGTGAAGCAGGAACAGGAACAAGAGCTCTTACAAGAGCTCAGTAGTTAAGGGAGTATGAAGAGCATAGCAATCCCTGTAGTGATTATAGCTGTCCCCTACAAACATGAGTCAAGGCTGCAAGTTAGAGGGTCAAGTCATTCTGTTTATTGGCACACAAAGAACCTTCTTTTATGCAGGTTTCCCTGAGATAGGACCACCCACAGGGTTTTACACAACAGCCAATAATAAACGTACATTACAGAAACACTCCCAGCAATTACACACAAAATCCTCCCCCTCTGCCTGTGATCTAATTATGGTACACAATGGGTTAACATAATTAAACACAGGCAGTAAAAATACAGTTTTTACCCATACCCTGTAACTTTAAAACCATACAGCCAATCTTCATACAAATTACATATTTAGAATCAATCCATTCAGGGAAGTAACATATTAAAAAATGGCACAAATCAGACAAGGGGTTCAAAAGTTAGCAAAAGTATCTTTTGAGGCCTGGCTGGCAGCATGGTTTTCTGGCCCAAACCGGTTTTACAGAGCCCTCTAGCCTGTAGACAATGGGGAAAATAATCCACTTATATCCAGGGATAGAGGCAGACTCCATTAACCACATGTTAGCAAAAGACACAAAAATACACAAAAATACATAACTCCTATCATACTGAACAGAACCCCCACATTCAACCTATCCCCAGATGGCTTGGATCTGAGCGCTCAATATATCCAAACAGCGCTCAGATCCCACAAATACAGTCAAATCGCCATACACACTAGGTCCATAGTCATGGGGCAGAAGGCTGGCAATTAGGCTTCTCCATAACACAGGGAAGCAGGGCAATTTGTCAAATAAAATAACAGTTACAAATGGCAGTCTGTAACACCCATACACACAGTTCAATCGCTATGGAGCTAAAGTCTTGTACAAAGTGCTTCATCAAATGAATGGGCTCCATGGGATGGCTATCTGGGGTAGCTCTGTTCATATCGTCAATGTACCGAACAGCACGGCATTCGTATGACCCGGGAACAGAACGAAGAGGGGTCGGCGGCTTCAGCAGTGTTCGTATGAAATAGTGTCCGATTTTAGTTCCACAGG